CAAACGTCTTCCATTTACGGATTATGGAGGCCACTGTGCTCTTTGGAACCTTAAGTGCAGCAGAAATTTTTTTTGTAACCTTGGCCAGATCTGTGCCTTGCCACAATTCTGTCTCTGAGCTCTTCAGGCAGTTCCTTTGACCTCATGATTCTCATTTGCTCTGACATGCACTGTGAGCTGTAGGGTCTTATGTAGACAGGTGTGTGGCTTTCCTAATCACATCCAATCAGTATAATCAAACACAGCTGGACTCAAATGAAGGTGTAGAACCATCTCAGGGATGATCAGAAGAAATGGACAGCACCTAAGTTAAATATATGAGTGTCACAGCAAAGGGTCTGAATACTTATGACCATGTGATATTTCAGTTTTTCTTTTTTAATAAATCTGCAAAAATGTCAAAAATTCTGTGTTCTGTGAGCAAGAAAACTGTCAAATCTGATGAAAAGCAAAGACCTGACTCAGCATCTGGACGCTAAGTCGGTCCTGCCACAGTCCAAAGACGCCTGATCAGGATTATCTAACCAGAAATTTTAAATAATTGTTTTGATGGCCTTTGTATTATCAGAAAAAAATATTGAAGAAATGTATTGTTTGAACTCTTTTAAAAAGACCAAGAATAGAGGTTTTCTCTTTGCGAATTTACATTTGTGGATATGAAATTTAGCCAATAAAATTAGCAAGTTACAAACATATACATGAGATGAGAATCGTGTTTCTAAGCAACCAAACAGAACATTCTTCCAGTACAGATTAAAATCCTTATCAATATTTATACGTATAAAGTCACAAAAGCTTTTCTGTGAAGTGACTTTGTGAAATGTTCTCTGTGATGATGCGTCCTCATGGTGTCCGCCCCTCGTGGGGACTGGAGACATGTGTCTGCTGCCCCCTGCTGGACAACAGCGCACACAGCAGGAGGAGACGCCGCATAAAGCAACGTGTCATGTTTCACTGTGTCTTTGGTTTGTTACTGTGTTAGACTGTGTTACATTAAAGCACTTCGTATTGTCCAGGAAACCAGCGGTGGAAAAAGTACTCAGATTCATTTAGAAGTAGAAATATCACACTGTGCAAGCACTTTGTCACAAGTAAAAGTCCTGGATTCAAAATGTTACTTAGGCCTAAGTATATTTACAACAGTATCAGCATTCCAGTATACTTAACGTACCAACAGTACCAGTACCCGTCCAGCAGAACGGCCCGTGTCCCAGTAACGTCTCTGATACTGGGTCATAGTGACTAATTACTGTGTCCATCACTTTAATGCTGCAGCTGGTAAAGGTGGAGCTGATGGTAACTACCTTATATACTTATACTGGGAAGTACTTTCCATCCTGCTGGGTAGCTGGTGGATTTCCTACTGGGATCAATAGAGTCTGATGGTTCTACTGGGTTTGGTTTGATTCATCTGGTTCTGGAAAGGACCTGAAGTTATCAGGTACATGTAGTGTAGTAAAAAGTACACGGTTTGTCTCTGACAGGTAGTGAAGTCACAGGATGAAGCAGCAGGACATGGAAATACTCAGGTGCAGGTAAAAATCCTACACAGAGTCACGTCGGTTCACAGTGGTCAGAATAAAACCCATGTTTCCAGGCTGCAGGTCAGTGATGTCACTGCAAGTCGCACAATGAACACAATCAGAGGTTTCATCAACTAGACATGATGTCTCTGACACTTCATGGCTCATTAAGGACTACACCGGCTGTCGTCGTTATTGTATGTGTAACTATTTTTATATATCTAAAAGTATTTTAAGAGGAATGGACAAAAAATGACTTGGTTTTAAAAACAAAACAACGATTCTACTCATTCATTTCCACAGACCTGCTGGAAACGTGTGTAGCTCGACTGGTGCTTTATTTGACCTTAAAGTGACTAAAGGGACCGTCTAAGGTAAAGTTCAGGTCTCAGGTGTCCACACCAGATGGAGCCTTTTGTAACAACATTCACTGATTTGTCACTATGGATCCTCATTGATCTTACTTAGTTACTGTTTGATTTTCAGTTTCTATGTTCCACTGTCATAGAACATGTGGAGGTTTAGGTGGATCCATCACCTTGTGAGCAGCTGTAGCATTTGTCACAGCACAGACATTTTCATCAGATCTTAAAAGTTTCATGTTTCATCCAGATGCCTTTTCTGGATCTGACTTAATTATCAAATGAACATAAGAAACGATGTTTTTATGGTGTCTGTGTTGATTAGCCCCACAGGTGGAGGGACCAGGCCCAGAGGCAGGGGACAACACAGTTCTGATCTGCAGGAGATGGACCAAAGTTCTCTTATAGAGGCTGATGGTCACTCCTAGACCCTGGCTCGACCCGGAAGTCGTTCCTTTATTAGAGCTCAGCTGGTGATTGGATGAAAGGACATTCCTCCATTCCTCAGTCGTCACATGTGGGTAAGACAAAGACACGAGGAAAAGAAGTGAGGGAAACGTTGATGCTTCAGGAGGTTTGGGATGTGCCCTGATCTCCTGACTCCGACGAACCTTAAGCACAGATCCTGTCTGTGTGACAGATGTGTCGCCTGTCTGTTGGAGCTGTTCTGTACATTAAAGCCCCGAGTTACAGAGGGTCACTGCAGAAATGCTGCATTAAAATGTTCAGAAAGTCTCCTGGGAATATTCTGTATAATGTTCGGAAATTGATTAAATTCCTTTCTGCACACAAACGGTCCCGCTGCTCCTCTGGTCCTCCACTGGCTCCGTGCTCCCCTTTGGGTCGCATATCTGGCGCAAAGTTGCTTGTTTGCCTCCGAGCGCCTGAAGAGCCAGAGGGGCGGAAGCACAGAAATCACACCGAGTTCAGTCTGAGGGCTCTCACTAGGAGGAGGAAGAGGAGGAAGAGGAGGAGGAATGATGATTCGCTCGGTCACTGAACGTCTTTGTGTCCGCAGACTCCTCCGGGGCTCTGCAGCAGGGAGAGGCTGCAAACCTCTCCAGACAGCAGGCTGGCATTCCCGGCTTCAACAAACCACCGCACCCCGCTTTCCGAGACAAGAGACGGATCTAGGGTGTGTGTGAAGAGGAGGAGTGCTGCTCAGACTTGGAGCAACAGAGAATAAAGGAGAAGAGGTGGAGTAAAGGGGCGTTTATTGTGGCGAGAAGAGAAAAGAAGTCTGGGTCTCCAGATGCATAATTGGCTCTGACAGTCGATCTGATCCGCCACAGATCCGGAGGAAATGGAGGCCAGTGAGGGTGAAGAGTCGGGGATACCCGCCAGGGATCTTCCTTCACACCTCGGCTCAGCAGCTCCAGACATGTCGCAACAGATCAGCGCAGAAAACTGCTACGAGGTTCTGACAAAAGCCAAGAGCGAGGGCGCGGAGGACGTGAAGGAGCGGGTCTACCGCTACATGAGTGACCACTACCTGCAGGTGTTGCGGACCCCCAGGATGTACGGCCGGCTGACCGCAGGGGAGAGGGAGCTCATCTTGGCCCGGAGGATGGAGGGGACGAAGGTGCTGGCGGTGGCCGAGAGCAGCGACGTGTACGACCGCGGGGGGAGCCAGGAGAACAGCCGGTCGCAGAGCCCGCTGCTGCCATCGGGGGC